ATACTATTAGTGGATGTTTAAATTTAGAAGTATTATTTGAAATATAGTTATTTAATATTACTGTGTAGGAGGGTTTTATTAATATACTCTAACACTTGGTTCAGCGGGTGATGAAATTGCAAATTATAAAATTTGTTTCGGATGGGTGTGTGTGATGAAGTTGCCATATGGAATGATTTAAAAGGGGAAAAAGGGAAGAAAATTAAAATTTCGTTATTTTTTTTATTAAACAAATTAGAATGCATCCATAAATAATACAATGGTTAGTGGTTGTTATATATAATGCTATAAAATGTTCATCATATTGAATGTACTATTTCTATTAGAACTGTCTCCTTACATCAACAATTATCATCTTCCCCCTCTCCCCCATCATATAATACACACATATAAAGCCCCTAATTCCCCTTGGCATAGTCCCCTTAGGCCCCTCAGCTGACATGCAACACAAAGTAAGACTTTTCTAAATTGGGCGATCAGACACTAGAGATGTGCCTGGCTTGGCAGTGGCTGCTGTAGCTCTGGGGCTCCCCACAAGGAAACCCGAGCACATCAGCAGATGGAGCAGTCTTGTTGGTTCTGATTTCACACAGCACAGTCACCTTACTGTAATCTTTAATGCAGATACAATTGGATAAGATGTGTAGAGATTGGGATACTGACCCCTTGGCTGGTGTGCCCCGTGCCCCTTCTGGCATGCTTTCCCTTTCCCCCTGGGGGTTCCTCCCCATGTGTGTAGATAGGTAGTAGTTCTTTGCTACAGGTGATCTGTTACCTCCATATTTAGCCAAGCTAGTGATTCTCCGATACACATGTGTGTTATCATGGTTAGATACACATGTGTGTTATCATGGTTACCAACAGTCAATAAAACTTTGACTTTTGCCATTTTGTGTACCTTGGTGTATGAAGAAGAAGCACCTGTTACTTCTCCATCAGGCCTGTACAGTATTGTGTAGTCTTGCTCAAGTCCCCACCTTCTGTTTATGATGGGTTTCTTCCACGCCATCAACCAAACCCCATTTCACTGGCTTTTTTGGCAGAGATCTTCAACTTACAGAAACCTGTTTCAGCTATCAAGGTTTATTGCAAATTAAGGAAAATAATGATCACAATGCTTGAGGATAAGTGAAAATCAATGAAACAAAATCTTTGGCCATTCAGTAAGTTCACAATTTCCACACCATTAAAACTGAAAAACAAAATATACATGTCCTTGGAATCAAAATGATTACTATCAGGTATTTTTTTCAAGCATTCTAGTATATCTACACATAATTAACTACAAAAAATGAATTTGTGGAAATTGTAATTTTAGAATTCTGTTACCGTTATGAATCTTGATGCAATTGTATATATGCTGACATTTATTGAATCCATTTTATATGTTTTCCAAACATTTAATGTGAAACTTCGCTAAAACATACTCTTGACAAGCATTATTAATTTGTTATTGCATAAACATTTGGCCTCTTAGCCATTTATGTTAATATACTATTCACTGATGTATGTTTTTGTGGTGACTGCAACAGTTTCACAAAATAAAATCAAGGCTCGTTTGTGTTTCAAGCAATAAGTTTTTTAGTTATATATGTACAGCTCAAACCAGAAATGTTAATGTCCTTGAGGAGAGCTGGAGGTCAGTGTAACAGGAGAGAAAGATTTTGGCCTGGGGCTGCTACAGCTGATTGTGTGTACCATGCGGTACACCATCACTAGTGGTATGCTGTAAGTAGGAGATCTGGAGCCTTCACAGCAATTCCTGAGATAATACACAGGGGATTACATAACCGAGCCAGGATCTAAGAAAGGTCCTGGTAACAACCACCTTGAGAGCAGGGCTTTGACCCTGACAGAAAAATGAACATGTTTCTTGCTGGTTTGTTGGGGGCCCAGACCAAACTAATGAATATGTGTGCTGCTTTTGATCAACATCATACAATTATAGCTAGCAAGTAATCAATACTTCATGAGAACAAATGAATAAATATGTATGTCGCTCCCTGTTGGCAAGAGTGAATGATTAGCTTTAGATATACAGGAAAACCAATTTGAACAAAACCAGGATGTGTAAAATGCCTCCATAAATCAAAACAGGTCTCGTCTGCTTCCCTATATATCATACTTAGTGCAGACATACCTGTTGTGTAAGCGTGCAGACTTACCTGTTGTGTAAACGTGTAGACATACCTGTTGTGTAAGCGTGCAGGAATACCTGTTTTGTAAACGTGCAGACATACCTGTTGTGTAAACGTGCAGACATACCGGTTGTGTAAGCGTGCAGACATACCTGTTGTGTAAGCGTGCAGACATACCTGTTGTGTAAACGTGCAGACATACCTGTTGTGTAAACGTGCAGACATACCTGTTGTGTAAGCGTGCAGAAATACCTGTTGTGTAAGCGTGCAGACATACCTGTTGTGTAAGCATGCAGACATACCTGTTATGTAAACGTGCAGAAATACCCGTTGTGTAAGCGTGTAGGAATACCTGTTGTGTAACCGTGCAGATATAGCTGTTGTGTAAGCGTGCAGGCATACTGGTTGTGTAAGCGTGCAGACATACCTGTTGTATAAGCGTGCAGACATACCTGTTGTGTAAGCGTGCAGACATACCTGTTGTGTAAAGGCTGGCCGTACCCCACTGTATGTTGTAACAGGCCACTAATGTAGGGTTCCTTCAGAATCATGGATATCTGTCAGGTTTGATAAAAGGAATAAAGGCTGGCCTTACCCCACTGTATGTTGTAACAGGGGACTAATGTAGGGTTCCTTCAGAATCATGGTTATCTGTCAGGTTTGATAAAAGGAATAAAGGCTGGCCGTATCCCACTGTATGTTGTAACAGGGGACTAATGTAGGGTTCCTTCAGAATCATGGATTGTTAATTCTGTCCAGGCTCTGTATAACCCTTTACATATGTCAAGATGATGCTTGGTTTTATGACCCTGAGAAATCATCTCAACTTACAGAAACCATCTTTTTATATTTGGTATTGAATATAAATATCCAGGCATATCCATCCATCACTAGTTACAAACCTTACTATCGAGAGAATAAAATCTTTGATTAAAGAAGATTTCAAATGTTCCCAATTATTTTAGAAGATATAACTATGATAAAACATTAAAACCGACTTTTGTCAGTGACACTGACGGCTGCGTTCTGTTGTAAAACACTAAAACAGACTTTAGTCTGTGACACTGACCGCTGCGTTCTGTTGTAAAACACTAAAACAGACTTTTGTCTGTGACACTGACCGCTGCGTTCTGTTGTAAAACACTAAAACAGACTTTTGTCTGTGACACTGACCGCTGCGTTCTGTTGTAAAACACTAAAACAGACTTTTGTCTGTGACACTGACGGCTGCGTTCTGTTGTAAAACACTAAAACAGACTTTTGTCTGTGACACTGACGGCTGCGTTCTGTTGTAAAACACTAAAACAGACTTTTGTCTGTGACACTGACGGCTGCGTTCTGTTGTAAAACACTAAAACAGACTTTTGTCTGTGACACTGACGGCTGCGTTCTGTTGTAAAACACTAAAACAGACTTTTGTCTGTGACACTGACGGCTGCGTTCTGTTGTAAAACACTAAAACAGACTTTTGTCTGTGACACTGACGGCTGCGTTCTGTTGTAAAACACTAAAACAGACTTTTGTCTGTGACACTGACGGCTGCGTTCTGTTGTAAAACACTAAAACAGACTTTTGTCTGTGACACTGACGGCTGCGTTCTGTTGTAAAACACTAAAACAGACTTTTGTCTGTGACACTGACGGCTGCGTTCTGTTGTAAAACACTAAAACAGACTTTTGTCTGTGACACTGACGGCTGCGTTCTGTTGTAAAACACTAAAACAGACTTTTGTCTGTGACACTGACGGCTGCGTTCTGTTGTAAAACACTAAAACAGACTTTTGTCTGTGACACTGACGGCTGCGTTCTGTTGTAAAACACTAAAACAGACTTTTGTCTGTGACACTGACGGCTGCGTTCTGTTGTAAAACACTAAAACAGACTTTTGTCTGTGACACTGACGGCTGCGTTCTGTTGTAAAACACTAAAACAGACTTTTGTCTGTGACACTGACGGCTGCGTTCTGTTGTAAAACACTAAAACAGACTTTTGTCTGTGACACTGACGGCTGCGTTCTGTTGTAAAACACTAAAACAGACTTTTGTCTGTGACACTGACGGCTGCGTTCTGTTGTAAAACACTAAAACAGACTTTTGTCTGTGACACTGACGGCTGCGTTCTGTTGTAAAACACTAAAACAGACTTTTGTCTGTGACACTGACGGCTGCGTTCTGTTGTAAAACACTAAAACAGACTTTTGTCTGTGACACTGACGGCTGCGTTCTGTTGTAAAACACTAAAACAGACTTTTGTCTGTGACACTGACGGCTGCGTTCTGTTGTAAAACACTAAAACAGACTTTTGTCTGTGACACTGACGGCTGCGTTCTGTTGTAAAACACTAAAACAGACTTTTGTCTGTGACACTGACGGCTGCGTTCTGTTGTAAAACACTAAAACAGACTTTTGTCTGTGACACTGACGGCTGCGTTCTGTTGTAAAACACTAAAACAGACTTTTGTCTGTGACACTGACGGCTGCGTTCTGTTGTAAAACACTAAAACAGACTTTTGTCTGTGACACTGACGGCTGCGTTCTGTTGTAAAACACTAAAACAGACTTTTGTCTGTGACACTGACGGCTGCGTTCTGTTGTAAAACACTAAAACAGACTTTTGTCTGTGACACTGACGGCTGCGTTCTGTTGTAAAACACTAAAACAGACTTTTGTCTGTGACACTGACGGCTGCGTTCTGTTGTAAAACACTAAAACAGACTTTTGTCTGTGACACTGACGGCTGCGTTCTGTTGTAAAACACTAAAACAGACTTTTGTCTGTGACACTGACGCCTGCGTTCTGTTGTAAAACACTAAAACAGACTTTTGTCTGTGACACTGACGGCTGTGTTCTGTTGTATTTTACAGGCAAGATCCGAGACGAGATGATGGAGACAGAGACCGAGAAGACACCTCTTCAACAGAAACTGGACGAGTTCGGAACTCAACTTTCTAAGGTATTATTAACATTTAAAGGACATTATAAAGTGTTGTTTTTAACAGTTTTAAAAGTTCTTTATCTCATAGAGATCCTTTCCTATATTATGTAAATGTTGGGTTTGCGGTAACAGTTTTTCTGACCATTACTTACCATTACTGACCATTGCTGACCTTTACTGTTCTGTCACAGGTTATCACTATCATCTGTATCTGCGTATGGGCCATCAACATCGGTCATTTCAACGATCCCGCCCACGGAGGATCATGGATGAAGGTATTTATAATGCTTGATTAAGCAGATGAAAAAATGAACGATTTCACTGTCAGAAATCTGTTGTTTTTTTTTATATTTGTTGACAAACCAACATATATATTTTGACTCCAAAGGGAAACCTGCACTAGTTACAATAAAAATGTTAAATAATGTAAGAAGGTTCTGGAACATGCTAGAATATATATGCTTTTCTATAATATTAACAATCTCAAATATGTTTGATTTTTTTATACATCCCTGAAAGGTTTTGGTAGGGAAGATTTACAAAGTGGTCATCTAATTTTATTGTGTGTTTCCTTTCAGGGCGCCATCTACTACTTCAAGATTGCTGTGGCTCTGGCTGTGGCTGCCATTCCTGAGGGTCTGCCTGCTGTCATCACAACCTGTCTGGCTCTCGGTACGTTGACCTGGTCATGTGACAGTGTGACTATAAACTAGGTCATGTGACAGTGTGACTATAAACTAGGTCGTGTGACTATAAACTAGGACATGTGACAGTGTGACTATAAACCTGGTCATGTGACAGTGTGACTATGAACAAGGTCATATGACAGTGTGACTATAAACTAGGACATGTGACAGTGTAGCTATAAGCAAGGTCATGTGACAGGGGGGCTATCAGCAAGGTCGTGTGACAGTGTAGCTATCAGAAAGGTCATGTGACAGGGTGACTATAAACTAGGACATGTGTCAGTGTGACTATAAACTAGCTCATGTATCAGTGCGACTATGAACTAGGTAATATGACAGTGTGACTATAAACCTGGTCATGTGACAGTGGAGCTATCAGCAAGGTCGTGTGACAGTGTAGCTATCAGAAAGGTCATGTGACAGTGTATCTATCAGCAAGGTCATGGGACAGTGTAGCTATCAGCAAGGTCATGTGACAGTGTAGCTGTTAGCAAGATCATGTGACGGCTTGACTGTAAACAAGGGTATGTGACAGTGTGAATACTAGCAAGGTCATGTGACAGTGTAGCTTTTAGCAAGGTCATGTGACAGTGTAGCTGTTAGCAAGGTCATGTGACGGCTTGACTGTAAACAAGGGTATGTGACAGTGTGGCTACTAGCAAGGTCATGTGACAGTGTAGCTATCAGCAAGGTCATGTGACAGTTTAGCTATCAGCAAGGTCATGTGACAGTGTAGCTATTAGCAAGGTCATGTGACAGTGTAGCTGTTAGCAAGGTCATGTGACGGCTTGGCTGTAAACAAGGGTATGTGACAGTGTGGCTGCTAGTAAGATCTTGTGACTTTGTGGCTGCTTTAAATTGGTGATTTGACAATGAAGCATTAAGACCAAGCTAGTACAGGTGACAGTGTGTAGCGTTCAGCTAGGTCGTGTAACAGTGTGTAGCGCTCAGCTAGGTCGTGTAACAGTGTGTAGCGTTCAGCTAGGTCGTGTAAAAGTGTGTAGCGTTTAGCTAGGTCGTGTAACAGTGTGTAGTGTTATCTAGGTGGTGTACTTCAACTGAGCTGTTGTCATTCTAGGTACCAGAAGGATGGCTAAGAAGAATGCCATTGTCAGGAGTCTGCCGTCCGTTGAGACCCTTGGCTGTACCTCAGTCATCTGCTCTGATAAGACTGGCACACTGACCACCAACCAGATGTCTGTTTGCAAGGTAACCCATCAGATAACAGATGATATTCAACCAATCGGATCAGGATTTTTTTTAGCCAATCAGATTAAAGCTTGTATCACTCTATAAATCTTTTATCAGTAATAATTTTAAGCTAATCAGAGAAGGCCACATTTACCGTGAAGATGTGAATCCAACCAGGCACAATAGGATTACTGCTGTACGTACTTATAACAATGTTTGTGTTCGTTGGTTGTTTCAGATGTTTGTGTTTAACAAAGTTGAGGGTGCTGACATTCAAACCCAGCAGTTCGAGATCACCGGCTCTACTTATGCCCCAGAGGGAGATGTGTAAGTATTTCAGACCATGTAATAAATTCAGACTTAGCAATGAAACAATATACAATGGTAGCATTAAACAAAGCAGGAAGTCAGCTTGTATCTTGTGAGATCTTGGAAGCTGACCTGTTGTCAGGTACTGTATAGCACATTGATTCCACACATTAGTTTTTCCACCATGAGATGTAGTTGAGAATTTAACATACTGTGAAATCAGATATATTCCTGGGGCCCAAATTTCATGGTTTTCCAAGAGAAAAACGCCATTTTATGGGTTACATGAATTTGTTGATTACGAGCACCCAATCATACAGAATTAAAAAACCCATGAAAACTAGTGATTTCTAAGTGTTACACACTTCTGTTGAAGTACATTTCAGATCTAATTATATGATGGGCACAAATTTAACACTGTTCTTGCATATATTTTGTCATACTCAAAAAATCCATAAATATGGCATCATCTCTTTATAAAGTGAAAGTAACCCTGTGTGACGCTATAAACATAGAAAATAATATGAAAATATGTTTGATTAAACATGGGAACAGATTTTTAATGTTGACTTGAAAATTAACAATTGATCTGTTGTATTGCAGTTACTTGGGTGGTAAGAAGGTGAAGACATGCGACTACGATGGTCTAGAGGAGATGGCCACCATCTGTGCGATGTGCAATGACTCCAGCGTAGATTACAATGATGTGAGTAGTGCAACAAAGTTTTATCAATTTTCACCTGAATCTGTTTGCCAACATTTTGTCACAGTTAGTAGAGGGTGTATTACCACTGTGTACGTCTAACAGGTGAAAAGATTTGAAACAAAAAAAATAGGAAATTGGTTTAATAGATGAAAAATAAGACAACTGCTGAAATAGTATTTCCTTATTATTGTTTGGTGAGTCTGCATCACATAGCTTTTAATTGACATTTTAGTTATTTTTCTTGTTCGATAAACATGCTGATAGCCTTTCCAAAGCTCCTCTTTGTACAGTGTTGTGTGATGTTTTTGCTTTGTATGACATTATCACTTGTATGACATCATCACTTGTTGTATGACATTATCACTTGTTGTATGACATTACTTCCTGTATTCCTACATTGTCTGCCTGTGTGTTATAGACCAAGGGAGTGTATGAGAAGGTTGGTGAGGCCACAGAGACTGCCCTGACTGTTCTGTGTGAGAAGATGAACTTCTTCAACACCGGTAGATCTGGCTTGAATCTGAGGGAGCAGGGTACTGTCTGTAACCATGTCATCCAGCAGATGTGGTCTAAAGAGTTCACACTGGAGTTCTCCCGCGACCGGAAGTCCATGAGTGTCTACTGCACACCAAACAAACCCAGCAAAATCCCCGGTGGTACCAAGATGTTTGCCAAGGTAATTACATGCAGACTGACGGCTGGATATATCATACAGAAAACTATTCAGCAACGGATGACACAGTTGGGTATCTGTTTCCAAAGATGACACACTATTGAGTGATAAATACACATCAACTGATGTGCATATTGGAAACTACAAAAATATTGATGACACATCAGTGGCATCTTTAAATGAATTGATTCTACAGCCCTGAACTTGGTTACAAGATGAAAAGTGTTGATGAAAGTACTGCACACAATCTGATGACACAGTCCTATAACTTCTAAACACTTAAATCCAATCCCCAGTACACAAAAACTGATGACACAACCTCGTAACATCTAAACACTTAAATCCAGTCCCCAGTACACAAAAACTGATGAGACAACCTCATAACCTTTCAACACTTAAATCCAATCCCCAGTACACAAAAACTGATGACACAACCTCATAACCTCTAAACACTTATATCCAATCCCTAGTACACAATAACTGATGAGACAACCTCATAACTTCTAAACTGTTAGATCCAATCCCCAGTACACAAAAACTGATGACACAACCTCAAAACTTCTAAACAGTGAGATCCAATCCTCAGTACACAAAAACTGATGACACAACCTCATAACTTCTAAACAGTTAGATCCAATCCCCCGTACAAAAAGACCCTGAAGACAGATCCAAGCCCATTTGCAACGTGTCTAAAATATTATGTCTCATTGTTTATTCCACTTTGGCCATTTAACGGAGAGAATTTATATAGGCTTTGCCTGCTATTCAATCCAATTGACTACGGCATCTTGTCAATAAAATTTGATGAAATGAAATGATCCCCAGTACACACAAATTGATGACACAGTCTGATAACTTCTAAACACTTTAATCCATTCCCGTGATAAACGTGACTGACTGTAAGCTTTGTTGTAGGGTGCCCCTGAGGGTCTTCTAGATAGATGTACACATGTGCGTGTTGGAAAGGACAAGGTCCCCATGTCGCCTGCCATCAAGAACGAAATCTTGAAATACACCAAGGCCTATGGAACTGGTGAGTTAAAATCTTTTAAACAGCTATATAGACTGAAAAAAGCCATTGGTGAAAATTGTCATATAGAAGGTCTTCGTTATATTGCCATCATTGTCCAGCCAAGTGTTTGGTATATTTATGTTAGGTGTAGCTCACCCTGTAAACATACCTTGTAAATGTTTTATTTCAGGACGTGATACGCTGCGTTGTCTTGCCCTGGCCACCATTGATGCTCCTCCACGCCGCGAGGACATGGACCTGGAAGATTCCCGCAAGTTCATCCAGTATGAGGTCAGTCATACAGTTTCACACCATTGTGGAGTTAATGCAAATAATTTATTGTATTCGGAAGTTGATGAGAAGTTAGATAAATATTTCATGTGGTTTGAATTTTATTGAACACTGTCACTGTTCATTTGTACAAAGAAAATCTGTCAGAAGGGCAACACATTTGCAGGTTTAGATTTCTCGTACATTTTTTTCAGGCTGAGATTAAATTGAAAAACAAAACCTGGAAAATATGCTATGTGATCCTTTATAATAATTCTGTAGGAAAACATTTGATTTTTGTTCTACTTAAATGTTGGTTATGATTTTTTACAGACCAATATGACATTCGTAGGAGTCGTAGGAATGTTGGACCCCCCACGTATGGAAGTGTTCGACTCCATCAAGAACTGCCGCAAGGCTGGAATCCGTGTCATTGTCATCACCGGCGACAACAAGGTATGATGTCACGTCCTGTTTTGAGATTACATGCTAGACAAGTTTAGACAACTGATGCAGCCTTAATTTTTGGAAGCCACCCACTTAAATGTTTGGAAGAAAGGAATATATCTGATTTGATCACATGCTTAACCTCAGTAGTGTAGCGCTAACGTTTGATAACCTTTCCATAACCTTGAATAACTATGTCCTCTTTATCTCACCAAGTGATACCTATCCACAATTTGTGTCGAATGAATATAAGGAGCTTCTGTTTGTAATAACTATGTTCTGTTAATCTCGGCTAGCAATACCTACACATGTCTGATAAGGAGCTTCTGTTTGTGTTGACAGGCCACAGCTGAGGCTATCTGTCGTAGGATCGGTGTGTTCGGCGAAAACGAGTCTACAGAAGGCATGTCCTTCACTGGCCGCGAGTTTGATGACCTGTCACATGAAGAGCAGCGATTGGCGGTAACAAAGAGTCGTCTGTTTGCCCGTGTAGAGCCTGCTCACAAGAGTAAGATCGTAGAGTACCTGCAAGGAGAAGGAGAAATCTCGGCCATGGCAAGTTCCAATATTTCAGGGTCCTTTGTTTTTCTGTCACACAACAGATACATCAGAAGTTATTCATTTTAACATTAATTTGGGAGCAAAGTCAGTTTTGAATGTAGATATCTTGGTAATCTTTATTCATTGTCATGAAACAAGAATATTCAGATGTTAATATCAAAATGTAAAATCCTCACAAAAGTTTGGGAAGTTAGGAATACGACTCCATTATCTGGTACGACTAGCGGGCTAAGTCAGGAATAAAACTCCGTTATCTGGTACGACTAGCGGGCGAAGTCAGGAATAAAACTCCATTATATGGTACGACTAGCAGGCTAAGTCAGGAATACAGCTCCATTATCTGGTACGATGACAGCTAAGTTAGGAATACGACTCCGTTATCTGGTACGACTAGCAGGCTAAGTCAGGTATACAACTCCATTATCTGGTAAGACTAGCAGGCTAAGTCAGGTATACAACTCCATTATCTGGTACGACTAGCAGGCTAAGTCAGGAATACAACTCCATTATCTGGTACGATTACAGCTAAGTTAGGAATACGACTCCATTATCTGGTACGACTAGCGGGCTAAGTCAGGAATAAAACTCCATTATCTGGTACGACTACAGCTAAGTCAGGAATACAACTCCATTATCTGGTACGACTAGCAGGCTAAGTCAGGAATAAAACTCCATTATCTGGTACAACTACAGCTAAGTCGGGAATACAACTCCATTATCTGGTAAGACTAGCGGGCTAAGTCAGGAATACGACTCCATTATCTGGTACGATTACAGCTAAGTCAGGAATACAACTCCATTATCTGGTACGACTAGCGGGCTAAGTCAGGAATAAAACTCCATTATCTGGTACGACTACAGCTAAGTCAGGAATACAACTCCATTATCTGGTACGACTAGCAGGCTAAGTCAGGAATAAAACTCCATTATCTGGTACAACTACAGCTAAGTCGGGAATACAACTCCATTATCTGGTAAGACTAGCGGGCTAAGTCAGGAATACGACTCCATTATCTGGTACGATTACAGCTAAGTAAGGAATACGACTCCATTATCTGGTACGACTAGCGGGCTAAGTCAGGAATAAAACTCCATTATCTGGTACGATTACAGCTAAGTTAGGAATAAAACTCCATTATCTGGTACGACTAGCGGGCAAAGTCAGGAATACAACTCCATTATCTGGTACGACTAGCGGGGCTAAGTCAGGAATAAAACTCCATTATCTGGTACAACTACAGCTAAGTCGGGAATACAACTCCATTATCTGGTACGACTAGCGGGGCTAAGTCAGGAATAAAACTCCATTATCTGGTACGATTACAGCTAAGTCAGGAATAAAACTCCATTATCTGGTACGACTAGCGGGCTAAGTCAGGAATACAACTCCATTATCTGGTACGACTAGCAGGCTAAGTCAGGAATAAAACTCCATTAGCTGGTACGATTACAGCTAAGTTAGGAATAAAACTCCATTATCTGGTAAATCTTTTTCTCAAAACATAAATTAGAAACATTTATAAACGCTGCTTTTGTAAAGATGATTTGTCATTGTTTCACAGATTAACACAAACTTCATAACTTTTTAGGGAATTTTTATGTTTGTTACAATTTTGACAAGCTGCAACAATATCTCTCACAAAATAGAAAGATAACATGATTATAATGAATACATTTAACCTCAATCCTCGTGATTAAAACATCCAGTATGCTGCCTTGATCCTGGTCCCAGTGCCAGTGTATTTCTATACAGATATAACAATCACAGACAGGTCTTCCACAGCTCTGACAATGACACTATATCACATATGCAGTGTGTTGAAAGCCCTTGCATTTTTTCCCCTCATGCTGGCCATTTGATCATTGACTCTATATTTGTTTGTGTCTAACAGACAGGAGATGGAGTAAACGACGCCCCTGCTCTGAAGAAAGCCGAAATTGGTATCGCCATGGGATCTGGAACTGCTGTGGCCAAGTCTGCCTCTGATATCCTTCATATACAAGTCAAGCGTTTGGGCTTGCAATTGCTTTTCTCCGTGGCGAATGAGATTTGTTATTTCTTTGTATATATTATGTCAGTATTATTGATTTACTGGTGTAAGTACTGAATGATAACCACTCGTGGTCAGTGAGTCTGTTAGTTTGTTTTGAAGCTTAGCATGCTTAAAAAACCTAATGATTATTGCCATCACTTTCAGAACTAGTCGACACATAGATTGAAGAAAGGCGAGAAATGGGATTTGTAGATAACGTACAGTACATCTGAAATATTTAGCTACCTTTAATTCTTGAGAGTCCGTAATTCTTGAGAGTCCGTTGTGAATTTGATAGTTACATCCATTCTTTAAAAACAATTTCTTCCAGTGTTGAAATCACCAACCTGTTTGTGACATTATGACAAATGTATTCATCAAAGTTATACAAAGAAATTGTCAGTTACATGGATGATATCTTTGTAAAGTTCAAGTTCTCACCAATTCCAGTTATCACTCAGAAGTACAACTGCAAAAAAAAGGGTTTGCTCTTTGAAATGAATTATTACAGTAAACAATGACATGATCATTATGTCAGCTAAACCCCCACGATCCTTGACAGCCTCGTACAGATGGTGTTGGCTGATGACAACTTCGCAACAATTGTGTCCGCTGTGGAAGAGGGCCGCGCCATCTACAACAACATGAAACAATTCATCAGATATCTCATCTCCTCCAACATTGGAGAGGTCGTATGGTAAGGGCAGACAACTCAAGTTAAACATAATTTTGTTTACGATGGGCAGGTAAAGTTAGTCAGACATTTCTATCTAAAAAAATTGGAGACATATGGCGTTTGCAGACACCTTTATGTTAAACCTTATTTGTTTATTTTGGGCAAAATGATGTTCATAGATATTTTATCTCCTTCAGCATTGGTGAGGTTGTCTAATGGCAGATAATTCTGTTCTATATATATATATATATATACATATTATTTCTTGTAATATGATGTATATGTACATGTGACTGTTCTGTTTCACTGTGTCTTGAAAAAGGAGCAGAAAGCTCCGAAAATTTGACAACCTAAATTTGTCCACACTGTTGGAATTACTTCTTTGCCCCATATACATGAATAAAAACACCTCAACAGCTGAATGCACTAATGATAGTTTTTCAGTTATTTCTTTGATAATATATATATATATACATACAACCTTTATCTGCCTATGGATATATATATACATACAACCTTTATCTGCCTATGTATATATATATACATACAACCTTTATCTGCCTATGGATATATATATACATACAACCTTTATCTGCCTATGGATATATATATACATACAACCTTTATCTGCCTATGGATATAAATATACATACAACCTTTATCTGCCTATGGATATATATATACATACAACCTTTATCTGCCTATGGATATATATGTACATGCAACCTTTATCTGCCTATGCATATATACATACAACCTTTATCTGCCTATGGATATATATACATACAACCTTTATCTGCCTATAGATATATATACATACAACCTTTATCAGCCTATGGATATATATATACATACAACCTTTATCTGCATATGGGTATATATACATACAACCTTTATCTGCCTATGGATATATATACATACAACCTTTATCTGCCTATGGATATATATATACATACAACCTTTATCTGCCTATGGTATTAGTGTTTTCCTGAAAGTTTTTGTCAAACTCTGTGAGGCTCTGTACACTTTCAATTTATATCTGCCCATAATGTTACAGTATCTTCTTGACTGCTGCTCTTGGCATCCCTGAGGCTCTCATCCCCGTACAGCTTCTGTGGGTGAACTTGGTAACTGATGGTCTTCCAGCCACTGCCCTCGGCTTCAACCCCCCAGATATGGACATCATGAAGAAACCTCCCAGGAATGCAAAGGAAGGTCTCATCACCGGCTGGTTGTTCTTCAGATATATGGCTATTGGAGGTGTGTGGCTATGTCAGATGTGTTTACAGGAAATCGGAGAGAACATTGATTTAGAAATAGTTGTTACTGACTTTAGAGGTCTTCGGTGTCAGAATGTCTTGTATACTAAAAAGTAATTTTCCTCAAACTTACACTCAGACAATTTTTCATATCAAGAAGTTAACAAAGGATGGTTACAACACAAATTTTAGTGGCACCAAGAGTGGTCTACTAACTTTCAACTGAATGGTGAATGTTGAGTACTTTGCATATGTTGGATATCATATGTTGGATATCATATGTTGCCATCTGTACAAAGCCAGAGAATAAACAATTTGGTAGAAATTCACTTGATATAACGCCACACAGTTATTTTTTGTCAAATTCTGGACTGAAATTCTGCACCATTTCCAACCTTGTCCTAAAGTTTATTAGCAAATAACAATCTATTAATATTTTAATAATTTCTCATCAAGTTTTTTTTCTGTAGTGTTTCTGATTCATATATATAACACTAAATAGTAGTTATACTTTTGTTAAACGAGGAATTAATAGTCATTTAAATGGTACTTATTCAGACCAATTCTAAAGCCTTATCCCCATTACCAAACAGGCTACGTTGGATGTGCGACTGTTGGTGCTGCCGCCTGGTGGTTCATGGTCTATGACAAAGGGCCCCAACTCAACTACTACCAGCTGGTAAGTATGGAAGATGACTGATACAGTTCTGAGGTCAGAGACTTGCTTCTTCATCAATCACAAGCCTTGTGGTGGGCAGTCATGTGTCTGGTTTGGAAAGTAATGGAAGATAGAGGTTCTAGTGGAAAGTAATGGAAGATAGAGGGTATAGTGGAGAGTAATGGAAGATGGAGGGTCTGGTGGAAAGTAATGGAAGATCAAGGGTCTAGTGGAAAGTAATGGAAGATGGAGGTTCTAGTGGAAAGTAATGGAAGATGGAGGGTCTAGTGGAAAGTAATGGAAGATAGAGGGTCTAGTGGAAAGTAATGGAAGATAGAGGTTCTAGTGGAAAGTAATGGAAGATGGAGGGTCTAGTGGAGAGTACAGGAAGATGGAGGGTCTAGTGGAATGTAAAGGAAGATCAAGGGTCTAGTGGAAAGTAATGGAAGATCAAGGGTCTAGTGGAAAGTAATGGAAGGTGGAGGGTCTAGTGGAGAGTACAGGAAGATGGAGGGTCTAGTGGAAAGAAATGGAAGATGGAGGGTCTGGTGGAAAGTAATGGAAGATGGAGGGTCTAGTGGAGAGTACAGGAAGATAGAGGGTCTAGTGGAGAGTAAAGGAAGATAGAGGGTCTAGTGGAGAGTACAGGAAGATGGAGGGTCTAGTGGAAAGTAATGGAAGATGGAGGGACTAGTGGAAAGTAATGGAAGATGGAGGGCCTAGTGGAAAGTAATGGAAGATCAAGGGTCTGGTGGAAAGTAATGGAAGATAGAGGGTCTAGGGGAAAGTAATGGAAGATGGAGGGTCTAGTGGGGAGTACAGGAAGATAGAGGGTCTAGTGGCGAGTAAAGGAAGATAGAGGGTCTAGTGGAGACTAAAGGAAGATAGAGGGTCTAGTGGAGAGTACAGGAAGATAGAGGGTCTAGTGGAGAGGAAAGGAAGATAGAGGGTCTAGTGGAAAGTAATGGAAGATGGAGGGTCTAATACTTGGTATTTGTAGCTATGGAGCAGGTATATATTGTTTAATTTAGAGGGCATTTATTAGGATTAACATATCTATTGAGGTGAGAGGATAAACCATTAGAGGATATCTATTGAGGGGAGAGGATAAACCATTAGAGGATATCGTTAAGGTGAAAGGTTATATATCAAGGTTACAAATTGTGAGGGTATAGTCAGAAAGTCAAATATATAATATTGATTGTTTGTGTAGACCCAACTATGCCCCTTCTCCCTAGGATCTCAACATGTTTTGTTGAGATTTTGTATTTTATATTAATTTATGACTTTTAAATTACAGAAATTAAGTCATCCATTTAATATGTAATTTTAATGAAGGAAAGCTGCTCTTAAATACAATATGAAAGGAAAGGAGGCATGTAACAGGTATTTTGGTCCCTATCAAGGGAAGTTAATTTGTATACTAGTTCATCAGGAACGGAGGCAACCTTTAAATTTTTGGCCTGTAACAGGGCAAGATACCTAGGATTTGTGTGCTAAGAAAGACACTAATTTTATGTATAGGTTACTGTGAATACCTGTGTGTCAGGATCAAAGACAATCCTTCAAATTTGTTTGCCTCTAACAAGGAAAGCTACCATTAACTTTGTACCAAGAAGGGACCAAGTAACTTTACAATTTGTTTGGTCTCAAGCAAGGAGGCTACTCTGTACACCCCTGTTCACCAGGAGGGGAGGTAACTCTGTAATGTTTGGGAACACTATATAGAATTTGGTTGCTGACTTGAATTGCAGACTCATCACATGCAGTGTCTAGCTGAGCCTAAGATGTTCCCTGGAATTGACTGTAAGATCTTCGGTGCTCCAGAGCCGATGACCATGGCTCTCTCTGTACTTGTCACCATTGAAATGCTTAATGCTCTCAACAGGTATTGCTCGTATTGGTCTCTGTTTTGACCCATGTGTTGATCTGTGGTCAAGTTTTGTTTGGCCAGAGAATTGGTGGTCAGTAAAGTCCTTTTTGTTTTTAACTCAAAACACTTTCCCACAAATTTTACAAAAATTTGAATAAAATTCGATTTTGATTTAATATCTGTATTCATTTTGCGTACTATGAACCAAAATAGAGACGTCAGAATTTTACTTTTTGATCCTTCTTTAATGTAAAAGTTTTAATTGTAAAATAAAGTAGCTTATACAGTGGAATTGTCGGCCTATTTCCCAAGTTTGAGGTCATCACAGTTTTGAGAGGACTGCTGACCACTGATCACTTCTAGCTTGGACCGATCTTGACCTTGGTCAATTCATGGTTGGAGGGAGCATGTGGAAAGGGATGGGTCACTGGGTCACTAAAATCTGACACACAAACTCAGGAACATCTAGTCTGGCATACTTAACAAGTTTATTTTAGTTGTAACCATGGTTACCTATAGACAAGGTATCTTGACTCGTGTCTCCTGTATTTGTGTTGTCTTCCCAGAATTCTCCCTGGTCAGGCATATGTATTCCAGCTTGAGGCGCTATCCCCGAGGTGGTAAAAGTGGGGATATATGCCCTGCCAGCAGACTTCTGGACAAAAGGTGTCGGCTTGTGTGTTAATAGTTGATATTTCTTCAATAGACCCATCACTCACAGTGTCTGGCTCAAGATGAGCGTTTCCTCGGTGTCGACTGCAAGGTTTTTGACCACCCTGCACCTATGACAATGGCTCTGTCCGTCCTGGTCGTCATTGAAATGCTTAACGCTCTCAACAGGTAAGGGTCTGACTGGCAAGGGGACACAACCTAAGTTTCTCATTGCCTCCTAAAAAAATCATAAAAATCTCTTACTGCCAAAATATTCTGCATTAAAGTGCATTTTTGAGAAGAAGAAAATCAAAAATTATGATAAAAACTATAAAAACAACAAAAAAAACCAACAACATTGTACTGCATCAGGTATTCACCTTCCTTCTAAAAACAGCAGGCAATAAGCTTGATGTAATGGACATCATCAGGAAAGTAAAGTGAGGTTAAGAAAAAACTTTGGTTTGTAACCCCTTGACAACAGGTAGTCTGTAGGTACAGCTTTGTCCATAGCTCGAGTTGGGGTACCCTACTTCCTGTGGTACCACAATCAGTTCTGACACACAGTGGCTCCACATGTGGTGCTGCCTTACAAAAAATATTGTTCTTGTCAGGTGCTAGTTTCACAATCATCATCCTAATTTTGGCATTATATTTTCAATTTTTTTATTCTCAAAATTGTTTCTTAATATAATTGATACAGACAATTTATCTTTACATAGGGCAAGCTACAAGCTTCAATCCACATATTTACATGTTAAAAACAAAAATTGGAGACAGCACTTATTTAATGTCAGCAGTCATTTCAAGCTTTGGACAAAGTGGTACTACTTGTGTGTTAGCAAATTTGCATCACAAAGGGAAAAAAAACGAATCTCCTGAGCCGAGTGTAGACTGGACCTCTCCGACTCTGGATTTCTGCTTTCTCTCAAAATTTCTGTCAAAACTATAGCCTGGTAGAAAGTAATGAAAAATATCATTGTTTTATTTTGGCACTCTTAAGTTTTTGTGCACATCACACATATTGGTGTTGAGACGGAGGTTGGAGTTCAGTTTAGACTTCTGTACTACAGAGGGAATTTCTGCTTGGACAGTGTCTACATAACTAAATAGCAGGGTGTCGTAGACTACAGAAAATTAACCAGATTTATGTGGGCAAGTTATCAGATGATTTTGCTGATAGAAATCTTTGAATTTTGACAAATTTCCAAAATTCTTGGTTACAAAAATTGATGTTTTGGCCCTACAAAGAATCAATAAATGTAGTACTTTAAGATCATACTGAAGTTAAAACCAGTAGATAGGGATTTGGTTTGCATGTCCAGTTGTTTCCCTTTGTGGTACAGATTACTCACACACACTCCTGTGGGCCGTCTACTTCTCATACACCTCCTTGTCTTGGTGACCTGTGCCTGTTTTGATGAGCTAGGCTTGTCTGGTGAAGAGCTATATTTGTCTCGATGAAACAGGCTTGTTTTGGTTGGGTGTTTGTATGGCATAGCTGGTTTAAGTGAGACTTAGTTTATGCCATACCCACCTTGTATATATTTATGAGAGTAGACTTGCTCCCCAGTCGGACCCTTTAACTGGTGATGGAAATGCATGTTATTTTGGTTTGTATATTTATAGTTAATATCTGACCTGGCCCACGGGGCACAGTAACCATATGCTGTAGTGTGTCGTCTGTCGTCTGCACATTCATCCGATGTCAACCATTTTCTTCTAAATCACCAACAGGCTAAGGGAGATGATATTTGGCCAGTGGTATGCTGGGATGAAGGGCTGCCAAGTATGCTCAGCTGAATGACCTCGACCAGCTTTAAAGTTTATAGGGATGAAATGATTAAAAATCTTGAAAACAATTATTTTAAAATAACCAAAATGCGTGGGGTGATGATATTTGGCCAGTAGCATGCTAGAATGGAGGGCTATGTAGTTTGCTCAGATGACTGACTGACACACCCTCAGGCTGTAGGGGTTAATTATGTAAAAAAAAAATCTTAATATAACTTCTCAACGGCCAAAAGGCCCAGGGTGATGAAATTTGGCGTATTAAATGACGTTTTCTCAGGGTTATTCATGAAGTTTGTTAAACTGAATTACTTTCTTAAACTTAAAAGGTCATAGGGGTCAGATATGTTAAAACCTGTAAACAGTTTCCCTTGTATGATGTAGACTCATAGGTAATGATGTATTGCATGTTATTTGACTTAGTTCATTTAGTTATCTTGACCTTGTTCCACTTTAAAGGTTAGAGGTTGTGAGATCAATACCAGGTGAGAGATGTAGGCCCATTATATTGTCAGTGAGTCCTGAATTAGCCATTTTATTACGTCTCTGATGTTTATTATTGATATATGTAATGAAATTTGAGTCATTATCTTCTGGAAGAAGAAAAAATAGAAAAATAAAGAACAGATATTGTACATTTAGCAAAGATTTAAGAATGTTTTGGTCTAGATTTGATATTTCCAGATATTCCTGTTGAAAAATACAATAAAACATTATGATAACAGGAATTTATGAAGCAGTATTTTTGCAATCGTTATAATTCTTGTACTTGCATATTCAAATTCCAGTGAATAATTCTTAAGAGGCAGAGATTAATGGTGCTATTTTGGGAAATGGACAGGAAGGGCTGGGGACAGGATAATATAAAACAGGCTGGGGACAGGGCCATATAAAACAGGCTGGAAGCAAAAACAGGCTGAAGACACGGGCATATAGAACAAGCTGGGGACAGGATAATCTAAAACAGGCTGGGGACGGGATAATATAAAACAGGATGGGGACAGGGTCATATGAAACAGGCTGGGGACAGGGTCATATGAAACAGGCTGGGGACAGGGCCATATAAAAAAGGCTGGGGACAGGGGCATAAACAGGCTGGGGACAGGGACATATAAAACAGGCTGGTGACAGGATCATATAAAAAAGGTTGGGGACAGCGGCATATAAAACAGGCTGGAATAAAAAACAGGCTGGGGAGAGGATAATATAAAACAGGATGGGGACAGGGTCATATTAAACAGGCTGGGGACAGGATAATATTAAACAGGCTTGGGACAGGGTGACATAAAACAGGCTGGGGGCAGGTAAATATAAAACAGGCTGGGTACAGGGTCATATAAAACAGGCATATCTGTGTTGTTCGGATATCTCTATCTTCCATAGTGCAGTTTGATTTGTGATAATTTTACCCAAACAAAGAAAATTCAGTTTAATTTAGATTTTATTTTAATTTTGGGCAGGCTGGGGACAGGGTCGTATAAAACAGGCATATCTGTGTTGTTCAGATATCTCTATCTTCCATAGTGCAGGTTGATTTGTGATAATTTTACCCAAACAAAGAAAATTCAGTTTAATTTAGATTTTATTTTAATTTTGGGCAGGCTGGGGACAGGGTCGTATAAAACAGGCTGGGGCCAGGGTCATATAAAACAGTCTGGGGACAGGGTCATATTAAACAGGCTGGGGACAGGGACATATAAAACAGGCTGGGGCCAGGGTCATATAAAACAGTCTGGGGACAGGCTAATATAAAACAGGCTGGGTACAGGATCATATAAAACACGCGTAGGACAAGGCCCTATAAAACAGGCTGGCGACAGGATAATATAAAACAAGCTGGGGACAGGATTATATAAAACAGGCTGGGGCCAGGATAATATAAAACAGTCTGGGGACAGGGTCATATGAAACAGGCTGGGGACAGGGGGATATAAAACAGGCTTGGGATGGGGGATCATATAAAACAGGCGTGGGACAGGGCCATATAAAACAGGCTGGGACAGGATAATATTAAACAGGCTTTGGACAGGGTCATATAAAACAGTCTGGGGACAGGCTAATATAAAACAGGCTGGGACCATAGTCATATAAAACAGGCTGAGGACAGGATAATATAAACCAGGCTGGGGACAGGGTAAATGGACAGGAAGGGCTGGGGCCAGGATAATATAAAACAGGATGGGGACAGGGTCATATGAAACAGGCTGGGGACAGGGGGATATAAAACAGGCTTGGGATGGGGGATCATATAAAACAGGAGGCAGAGATTAATGGTGCTATTTTGGGAAATGGACAGGAAGGGCTGGGGCCAGGATAATATAAAGCAGGCTGGGAACAGGGTCATAAACAGGCTGGGGGCAGGATCATATAAAACAGACTGGGGACAGGGTCATATGAAACAGGCTGGGGACAGGGACATATAAAACAGGCTGGAATAAAAAACAGGCTGGGGACAGGGTCGTATAAAACAGGCTGGGGCCAGGGTCATATAAACCAGGCTGGGGACAGGATTATATAAAACAGGCTTGGGTCAGGATCATATAAAACAGACTGGGGACAGGGTCATAAACAGGCTGGGGGCAGGGTCATATAAAACATGCTGGGGACAGGGTCATGTAAAACAGGCTGGGGACGGGATAATATAAAACAGGATGGGGACAGGGTCATATGAAACAGGCTGGGGACAGGGCATATAAAACAGGCATATCTGTGTTGTTCAGATATCTCTATCTTCCATAGTGCAGGTTGATTTGTGATAATTTTACCCAAACAAAGAAAATTCAGTTTAATTTAGATTTTATTTTAATTTTGGGCAGGCTGGGGACAGGGTCATGTAAAACAGGCTGGGGACAGATCATATAAAACAGGCGTGGGGCAGGGTCATATAAAACATGCTGGGGACAGGGTCATGTAAAACAGGCTGGGGACGGGATAATATAAAACAGGATGGGGACAGGGTCATATGAAACAGGCTGGGGACAGGGTGATATAAAACAGGCTGGGATATAAAACAGGCTGGGAACAGGGTCATATAAAACAAGCTGGGGACAGGATTATATAAAACAGGCTGGGTACAGGATCATATAAAACGGGCTGGGGACAGGGTCAGATAAAACAGGCTGGGGAAAGGATAATATAAAACAGGCTCGGGACAGGGTCATATTAAACAGGCTGGGGACAGGGGGATATAAAACAGGCTTGGGATGGGGGATCATATAAAACAGGCGTGGGACAGGGCCATATAAAAAAGGCTGGGGACAGGGGAATATAAAACAGGCTGGGAACACGGTCATATAAAACAGGATGGGGACAGGGTCATATGAAACAGGCTGGGGACAGGGCCATATAAAACAGGCTGGGGGCAGGTAAATATAAAACAGGCTGGGTACAGGGTCATATAAAACCGGCATATCTGAGTTGTTCGGATATCTCTATCTTCCATAGTGCATTTTGATTTGTGATAATTTTACCCAAACAAAGAAAATTCAGTTTAATTTAGATTTTATTTTAATTTTGGGCAGGCTGGGGACAGGGTCGTATAAAACAGGCTGGGGGCAGGGTCATATAAAACATGCTGGGGACAGGGTCATATTAAACAGGCTGGGGACAGGGACATATAAAACAGGCTGGAAGCAAAAACAGGCTGAAGACACGGGCATATAGAACAAGCTGGGGACAGGATAATATAAAACAGGATGGGGACAGGGTCATATGAAACAGGCTGGGGACAGCATAATATAAAACAGGCTCGGGACAGGGTCATATTAAACAGGCTGGGGACAGGATTATATAAAACAGGCTTGGGACAGGATAATATAAAGCAGGCTGGGAACAGGGTCATAAACAGGCTGGGGGCAGGTAAATATAAAACAGGCTGGGACCAGGGTCATATAAAACATGCTGGGGACAGGGTCATATGAAACAGGCTGGGGACAGGGCCATAAACAGGCTGGGGACAGGGCCATAAACAGGCTGGGGACAGGGCATATAAAACAGGCTGGAATAAAAAACAGGCTGGGGACAGGGACATATAAAACAGGCTGGAATCAAAAACAGGCTGAAGACACGGGCATATAGAACAAGCTGGGGACAGGATAATCTAAAACAGGCTGGGGACGGGATAATATAAAACAGGATGGGGACAGGGTCATATGAAACAGGCTGGGGACAGGTTCATATAAAACAGGCTGAGGACAGGATAATATAAACCAGGCTGGGGACAGGGTCGTATAAAACAGGCTGGGGAGAGGATAATATAAAACAGGCTGGGTACAGGATCATATAAAACAGACTGGGGACAGGGTCATATGAAACAGGCTGGGGACAGGTTCATATAAAACAGGCTGAGGACAGGATAATATAAAAGAGGCTGGGGACAGGATAAAATAAAACAGGCTGGGGACAGGGACATATAAAACAGGCTGGAATAAAAAACAGGCTGGGGAGAGGATAATATAAAACAGTCTGGGGACATGGTCATATAAAACAGGCATATCTGTGTTGTTCAGATATCTCTATCTTCCATAGTGCAGGTTGATTTGTGATAATTTTACCCAAACAAAGAAAATTCAGTTTAATTTAGATTTTATTTTAATTTTGGGCAGGCTGGGGACAGGGTCGTATAAAACAGGCATATCTGTGTTGTTCGGATATCTCTGGGGACAGGGTCATATGAAACAGGCTGGGGACAGGGACATATAAAACAGGCTGGAATAAAAAACAGGCTGGGGAGAGGATAATATAAAACAGTCTGGGGACAGGGTCATATGAAACAGGCTGGGGACAGGGCCATAAACAGGCTGGGGACAGGGTCATATAAAACAGGCATATCTGTGTTGTTCGGATATCTCTATCTTCCATAGTGCAGTTTGATTTGTGATAATTTTACCCAAACAAAGAAAATTCAGTTTAATTTAGATTTTATTTTAATTTTGGGATAAATGTGGTTCCAATTTACAATTGCAATTTGCAGTTCAAAAAGTGATTTTTTACCTGAAAATTGTAGCACCTGTTAGGGTAGGAATTGCAAAAATCATGCAAATAAAGCCATTTATATGGTTTGAACTTGTGAAGTAATATATTTACTTGTAAATAAGCTTTGTCTTAATTTTCACATAACGTCACTTACAGTCTTGATAGTGTTATTGACTTGTAGGCTTTAACTCGACTTTCAGTACTTTGATTGCTATTACAGCTTGTCTGAGAACCAGTCCCTGCTGGTGATGCCCCCTTGGTGTAACAAGTGGCTGTTAGGAGCCATGGCTCTGTCTATGGGACTCCACTTTTGCATCCTCTACATTGACGTCATGTCGGTAAGTGTTTGTTTCTACCATACCATTTAGTGTGGAGTAAAACTGTCCAATGAAAGACAACACTTATGTTGAAGTGTACCCCATACCTGTGCTTAAGATATCTCTCTCTCTCCCTTACTTGTGCGTAAGATATCTCTATCTCCTTTACCTGTGCATAAGACATCTCTATCTCCCTTACCTGTGCATAAGATATCTCTCTCTCCCTTACCTGTGTGTAAGATATCTCTATCTCCCTTACCTGTACATAAGATATCTCTCTCTCCCTTACCTGTGTGTAAGATATCTCTATCTCCCTTACCTGTACATAAGATATCTCTATCTCCTTTACCTGTGCATAAGACATCTCTATCTCCCTTACCTGTGCATAAGATATCTCTCTCTCCCTTACCTGTGTGTAAGATATCTCTATCTCCCTTACCTGTACATAAGATATCTCTCTCTCCCTTACCTGTGTGTAAGATATCTCTATCTCCCTTACCTGTACATAAGATATCTCTATCTCCTTTACCTGTGCATAAGACATCTCTATCTCCCTTACCTGTGCATAAGATATCTCTCTCTCCCTTACCTGTGTGTAAGATATCTCTATCTCCCTTACCTGTGCATAAGATATCTCTCTCTCCCTTACCTGTGTGTAAGATATCTCTCTCTCCCTTACCTGTGTGTAAGATATCTCTCTCTCCCTTACCTGTGTGTAAGATATCTCTATCTCCTTTACCTGTGCATAAGACATCTCTATCTCCCTTACCTGTGCATAAGATATCTCTCTCTCCCTTACCTGTGTGTAAGATATCTCTATCTCCCTTACCTGTACATAAGACATCTCTATCTCCCTTACCTGTGCATAAGACATCTCTCTCTCCCTTACCTGTGCATAAGATATCTCTATCTCCCTTACCTGTGTGTAAGGTATCTCTATTTCCCGTACCTGTGTGTAGGATATCTCGATCTCCCTTACCTGTGTGTAAGATATCTCTATCTCCCTTACCTGTGTGTAAGATATCTCTATCTCCCTTACCTGTGTGTAAGGTATCTCTATCTCCCGTACCTGTGTGTAAGATATCTCTATCTCCCTTACCTGTACATAAGACATCTCTATCTCCCTTACCTGTGTGTAGGATATCTCTATTTCCCGTACCTGTGTGTAGGATATCTCTATCTCCTGTACCTGTGTATGTAGGATATCTCTATCTCCCTTACCTGTGTGTAGGATATCTCTATCTCCCTTACCTGTGTGTAAGATATCTCTATCTCCCTTACCTGTACATAGATATCTCTATTTCCCGTACATGTGTATGTAGGATATCTCTATTTCCCGTACATGTGTATGTAGGATATCTCTATCTCCCTTACCTGTGTGTAAGATATCTCTATCTCCCTTACCTGTACATAGATATCTCTATTTCCCGTACATGTGTATGTAGGATATCTCTATCTCCCGTACCTGTGTATGTAGGATATCTCTATCTCCCTTACCTGTGTGTAAGGTATCTCTATCTCCCTTACCTGTGCATAAGATATCTCTCTCTCCCTTACCTGTGCATACGACATCTCTATCTCCCTTACCTGTGTGTAGGATATCTCTATTTCCCGTACCTGTGTGTAGGATATCTCTATCTCCCTTACCTGTACATAAGATATCTCTATCTCCTTTACCTGTGCATAAGACATCTCTATCTCCCTTACCTGTGTGTAGGATATCTCTATTTCCCGTACCTGTGTGTAGGATATCTCTATCTCCTGTTCCTGTGTATGTAGGATATCTCTATCTCCCTTACCTGTGTGTAAGATATCTCTCTCTCCCTTACCTGTGTGTAAGATATCTCTCTCTCCCTTACCTGTGTGTAAGATATCTCTATCTCCCTTTCCTGTACATAGATATCTCTATTTCCCGTACATGTGTATGTGGATATCTCTATTTCCCGTACATGTGTATGTAGGATATCTCTATCTCCCGTACATGTATATGTAGTATATCTCTATTTCCCGTACATGTGTATGTAGGATATCTCTATCTCCCTTACCTGTGTGTAGGATATCTCTATTTCCCGTACCTGTGTGTAGGATATCTCTATCTCCTGTACCTGTGTATGTAGGATATCTCTATCTCCCTTACCTGTGTGTAAGGTATCTCTATCTCCCGTACCTGTGTGTAAGATATCTCTATCTCCCTTACCTGTACATAAGATATCTCTATCTCCTTTACCTGTGCATAAGACATCTCTATCTCCCCTACCTGTGCATAAGATATCTCTCTCTCCCTTACCTGTGCATACGACATCTCTATCTCCCTTACCTGTGTGTAGGATATCTCTATTTCCCGTACCTGTGTGTAGGATATCTCTATCTCCCTTACCTGTGTGTAGGATATCTCTATCTCCCTTACCTGTGTGTAAGGTATCTCTATCTCCCGTACCTGTGTGTAAGATATCTCTATCTCCCTTACCTGTACATAAGATATCTCTATCTCCCTTACCTGTGTGTAGGATATCTCTATTTCCCGTACCTGTGTGTAGGATATCTCTATCTCCCTTACCTGAACATAAGATATCTCTATCTCCCTTACCTGTGTGTAGGATATCTCTATCTCCCTTACCTGTGTGTAAGATATCTCTCTCTCCCTTACCTGTGTGTAAGATATCTCTATCTCCCTTACCTGTGTGTAAGGTATCTCTATCTCCCGTACCTGTGTGTAAGATATCTCTATCTCCCTTACCTGTGTGTAAGGTATCTCTATTTCCCGTACCTGTGTGTAGGATATCTCTATCTCCCGTACCTGTGTATGTAGGATATCTCTATCTCCCTTACCTGTGTGTAAGATATCTCTCTCTCCCTTACCTGTGTGTAAGATATCTCTATCTCCTTTACCTGTGCATAAGACATCTCTATCTCCCCTACCTGTGCATAAGATATCTCTCTCTCCCTTACCTGTGCATACGACATCTCTATCTCCCTTACCTGTGTGTAGGATATCTCTATCTCCCTTACCTGTGTGTAAGGTATCTCTATTTCCCGTACCTGTGTGTAGGATATCTCGATCTCCCTTACCTGTGTGTAAGATATCTCTATCTCCCTTACCTGTACATAAGATATCTCTCTCTCCCTTACCTGTGTGTAAGATATCTCTCTCTCCCTTACCTGTGTGTAAGATATCTCTCTCTCCCTTACCTGTGTGTAAGATATCTCTATCTCCCTTTCCTGTACATAGATATCTCTATTTCCCGTACATGTGTATGTAGGATATCTCTATCTCCCGTACATGTATATGTAGTATATCTCTATTTCCCGTACATGTGTATGTAGGATATCTCTATCTCCCGTACATGTATAAGTAGTATATCTCTATTTCCCGTACATGTGTATGTAGGATATCTCTATCTCCCGTACATGTATAAGTAGTATATCTCTATTTCCCGTACATGTGTATGTAGGATATCTCTATCTCCCGTACATGTATAAGTAGTATATCTCTATTTCCCGTACATGTGTATGTAGGATATCTCTATCTCCCGTACATGTATATGTAGTATATCTCTATTTCCCGTACATGTGTATGTAGGATATCTCTATCTCCCGTACATGTATAAGTAGTATATCTCTATTTCCCGTACATGTGTATGTAGGATATCTCTATTTCCCGTACATGTGTATGTAGGATATCTCTATCTCCCGTACATGTATAAGTAGTATATCTCTATTTCCCGTACATGTGTATGTAGGATATCTCTATCTCCCGTACATGTATAAGTAGTATATCTCTATTTCCCGTACATGTGTATGTAGGATATCTCTATTTCCCGTACATGTGTATGTAGGATATCTCTATTTCCCGTACATGTGTATGTAGGATATCTCTATCTCCCGTACATGTATAAGTAGTATATCTCTATTTCCCGTACATGTGTATGTAGGATATCTCTATTTCCCGTACATGTGTATGTAGGATATCTCTATCTCCCTTACCTGTGTGTAGGATATCTCTATCTCCCTTACCTGAACATAAGATATCTCTATCTCCCTTACCTGTGTGTAGGATATCTCTATCTCCNCATCTCTCTCTCCCTTACCTGTGCATAAGATATCTCTATCTCCCTTACCTGTGTGTAAGGTATCTCTATTTCCCGTACCTGTGTGTAGGATATCTCGATCTCCCTTACCTGTGTGTAAGATATCTCTATCTCCCTTACCTGTGTGTAAGATATCTCTATCTCCCTTACCTGTGTGTAAGGTATCTCTATCTCCCGTACCTGTGTGTAAGATATCTCTATCTCCCTTACCTGTACATAAGACATCTCTATCTCCCTTACCTGTGTGTAGGATATCTCTATTTCCCGTACCTGTGTGTAGGATATCTCTATCTCCTGTACCTGTGTATGTAGGATATCTCTATCTCCCTTACCTGTGTGTAGGATATCTCTATCTCCCTTACCTGTGTGTAAGATATCTCTATCTCCCTTACCTGTACATAGATATCTCTATTTCCCGTACATGTGTATGTAGGATATCTCTATTTCCCGTACATGTGTATGTAGGATATCTCTATCTCCCGTACATGTATATGTAGTATATCTCTATTTCCCGTACATGTGTATGTAGGATATCTCTATTTCCCGTACATGTGTATGTAGGATATCTCTATCTCCCGTACCTGTGTATGTAGGATTAAGTTAAACCATTGAAATAAATGCAGTGACCTCACATTGTATGAAGGAGTTGTGAGGTACTTTGGCTCTGTCTATGGGACTCCAATGTCATTTTTCATGAATATTTTACTTTCGACATCTTTTGAAGACAAAGACATGATTTTCACTCATCATATAATTATGTCCAGTCTTCTTTGGAAACCAAAGTTACTGTCTTGGTAAATATAGTATCAGACCTGCATTAAACTGATACATGTTTTTTATTTGTTTACAGACCATCTTCCAAATCACGCCTCTTGGATTTGAAGAATGGTTCGCCGTACTCAAGATCTCAATGCCTGTGATACTTATAGACGAAACATTGAAGTTCTGTGCTCGCAAATTCACTGACGGTAAAAACCCATTATTAGATATTCACTGGATTTTGATTGTTTGGGTTGCTTACTCAAGTTATATGTACTTGACTTTTCTACATGATTGAACAGTCTGTATTCCCCAGCCACCCATAGTTGTCTCCCTTGTTCCATTCCAAGTCTCTAGCAAATTAACTGTCTTGTTTGTGTAGATTTTTCTTACTAATTTCAAACTCCTGTTTCTATAGTAACAGTAATGATAAGTGTGTTGTCATGAGAACTGTTGTGCTGGTGATTTTCTCTCTCTCAGAAAAATTAGAGATACAAATTGTTCCTGTCTCATTGTAGAATAGGTTTTTTTTCAAGAATTCTTTTTATAACTTTGATCTCGTGGAGATTTTAAAAGAAAGATTTTAAGATGGCATTAATTCTTCAGGTACATTTTGAAAATTCAATAATAGGGATGAGATGAGATTGGGGAAGGCCAGGAAGGAGAACAGAGATAGGGGCTGTGAAGGGCAAGGTCTTTCAAGGAGGAGTATATTCCTGTGTTATGTTCAGTATGGATAGAAAAAGCAGTATTTCTATATTCTCTTTGAATTTTGTATATTCCAGTGTGGGCAGTGCTATATTTGTACAAAATCTGCCCCAATTTAAACAATATAAGATTTTATTGGCGATCCCGATTATGTCCCCTGAAAGGCAGTATGTGTTTATCCCTGTGTGGGGTTTTGGCATTTTTTCCTCAACTGATTTTGGCCCCATTTTAATAAGTCTGTGGGATGATGTTCTTAGCATTAAGATTTGACATGTTCGTATTGTATCTATTGTCAGTAATGCAATTCTGAAATAATAGAATTCCTCATTTTTCCTGCAAATGAGTTATATACATTTAAAAATCAAATAGGATGAACATTTTTGGATTTGAATTTGTTGAAATAAATAAGCTTGGGGTTCAATTTAATTTCAAAATTTATCTAAACTGCAAAGGAAGCAAAACTACTGGGGAGGGTATTTATGATAATGTTGAAGTTGGATAATGTGTTTGTGTCCAACTCCTCAACTTTAATTGTGATCATTTTGTCAAAGAGGTATTGGAAATGTGAACATGACCAGTTTACTTACTATCAGAGGAGAAAACCAACAAACAAAGTGTGTTTCTTCATCCCTTAGGGAAGCTTGTTCTGGAGTTGTTGCCCTTTGTGTTACTCTTCATTTTCATTTTGTATGGGTAATATAAAGTCAATTTAGTGATATTTGTACATGAAATCTCACTGTGATGTCATAGATCACCAATGTATCCCATAATATTTTGTAAATATATACATAGAACAAGCTTCTCTAACTGTGGGTAGCATGTAACAATGACGATTCATTCTGTGATCAAGATTTCTGGTCGTTCATTTCATGATGTGGTTATTGGATAGTTACCGAGTCTGTTGAAAACAATTAGTGTCTATTTATTCGTTCACATTGTTTGTTGATCTTCTCATTAATTGGGTAATTGCTAAAAACCAAGCTTGTCCTTCAGGATAACATGTCTCAAGGGATTCCTCACCTGGTGATCTAAGAATATCAACTTCAAAAAAATAAAAATTTCATTAGGCTATGGACAGTTACTTCCCTTTGGGGGTCTTCCTTTCACTATCCTTGTCTGTGGAAGTTTAGATAACTGTTTTACTCCAAGCATGTTGCCTCATCCCATTAAAGCAGAGTTTTAACAGTTTTGCTTTTCAGTCTACACAAGTTTTTCTTTATTTTGTTTCTATTTATAGCTGCTGGAATGATGAGATTTGTTTATTTTCTAGTTGGCAAAGCTTGGTTTTTCAGTAGTGCCCGTGCCCTCCCTGTTTTTACTGTATGAATGTCGGTGTGTGTATGTGTGTTTATGTATACAGATGTGTGTGCATTCTGTGTGAGGACTGATCCGGTCTTATTTATATATTATCACACTCAAGAACCATAGTTATAAACATTATAGATATATATCATTCAGTTTGAAATCTTGTACATGTTGAGAGCAATTTTCACAGATCTATACTTAATGTTTTCCTCTACTGAAGAATGTGAAGACGCCATTGTTTTCATCCGGGGCACAAAACCATTCTCTCGGCTCCATTGATGTCTGATACCTTACAATTTACAGAAAAAAGTTCATCTGAAATTAATCATATCCATTAAACTGCAATATTACAACACATCAGTTTACTGTTTATTTAGATAACGCAAGGGCACTATAACAGGATGGTGTAATGGAATGCTGGTAAAATGAATCATTTTAATTTCCTGATGAGCAAATGTCATTATATTGGGGTGGTAGTATTATAAGGAAAGGTATTGAATTTGGGAACAAGTGTCAATTTAATGGGACGTCTTTATAAGGAGATGTCATTAATTTGGGAACAAGTGTCAATTTAATGGGACGTCTTTATAAGGAGATGTCATTAATTTGGGAACAAGTGTCAATTTAATGGGACGTCTTTATAAGGAGATGTCATTAATTTGGGAACAAGTGTCAATTTAATGGGACGTCTTTATAAGGAGATGTCATTAATTTGGGAACAAGTGTCAATTTAATGGGACGTCTTTATAAGGAGATGTCATTAATTTGGGAACAAGTGTCAATTTAATGGGACGTCTTTATAAGGAGATGTCATTAATTTGGGAACAAGTGTCAATTTAATGGGACGTCTTTATAAGGAGATGACATTAGTTTTGGAACAAGGGGCAGTTTAATGGGATGTCTATACAAGGGGATGTCCTTAATTTGCTAACAACTGTGAATATAAAGGGTTTTCTTTAAAAGGAAACGTAATTAATTTACTGTTAATTGAATGAGTTGGCTATATAATGGAATGGTGTTTATTTTTCAAATGGGAATGGATATGATATAAGGATTCAGTATAATGCGTCATTATAAGGGAAGGTTACTGTAGAGGTGTCGGGGATATCATTTTAATGTGGTCACTGTTATTGCGTGGCCTTTTAAAGGGACTATAATGGAATGTTGCCATAAAGAACGGCATTATAAGGGATGACATTACAAGGATCCGAGAGCATGGACTAAGTGAACAGCAAGGCAGGATAACCGACAGTTAAGTGATGGAAAGGGATTTGTTTTTACTTTCAGTGAATGCCTAGAGGTAACAAGCCAATTTTGATAAAACTTATACTATCTGGGACTCTTAACTTCAAACTTAAACACTGCATGAAGCTAGCATTCCGGTACCACCAAGATTCTATATATCAATAAAATAAAAAGTAAACAAACTCATATTCTTTTTCTGAATTTTTGGACTGTAGTCATTTTCAAATCTTGGTGGTATATCATTCAATATAATATAATAGATTATATATCTCCCTAGAATTTTCATGTGTACTTAACAATACACCTATATAGCTTATTTATCTCTGCTGTATAAAAGTTATATTACAGTTCTATCCTAACCTGTAGCTACACTCACTGTCGGCGGCCACACGGGCCGAGGAGGCTGGGTTACCAGGCATCATGGTGATTCACCCTCCTGGGGCCTTCGAGGCTGATCACCCTCGGGGTGCCTCGGGGGCTATCTTGCTATCAGGTTGCCATTAAGATCTGAGGGGCCACAGCTTCACCGTCTCTCTCGGCTGTCCTGGCTTGTTGTTTCACTGAACAGGCAATGGTACTGCATTTCTTACTAATCATTTTTCCATTGTTACTAATGTTCACAGTGTATTAATGATGTGTGAGTTACGTCTGTATGAGTTCTCTCCCTTGGAGCAATTTGTCACCTCTCCATTTTGTATAGTAAACGTTTTGTGAACGACTACTAGTGTTTTTCATATTTCTTGGTTTTTGTACCCAAGCCTGCATTTGTATTTTTTGTCCTTTTCTCCACTTCACATTGAGACTGCCTGTGTGAGAATGCTTGAGATGAAAAGAAAGAAAAAAAAGATCCTGAACTGTGGTAATAAATAAATGTTCATGTAAGATTAATATAGACAAGAGCATGCCCATATGACACAGGGTTTTGTCACCTGTGAGGTCACCCGACCATAAGCAACAACTGTCTTCAGGACTTTGTAAATATATATCATCTGCTGTCAAGGTCCAAGTCAGTATCAATTTTGCCACAGTAAGAAATGCAGTACTTAGCCAAAAACTCCCTGTTGCTTAAAGCGGAATTGACGCCCGCTTGGACACGCCTCAGAAAGTGTCCCACTTTGTAAAACTTATTTAATTACTGCCCACAACAATTTCATTCCGCGGGTGCTGATTTCATTATTTTTCTCATTTTCAAAGATTTTTTTTTTTGTGTGTTACGTATTAAATTGTATGACAAGAATTCTTATTTCATTTTCATGAAATGACCAAGAACTTTGTATTGATAAAGATTCCCATTTTTATTAAAACATGGAAAAGTCTGCATGGTGTGTTAGTTCTGATTTGTTACTCATATATATCTGTATGTTGCAGAGAGAAATAGAAAATAACTACGAATGTTTTTTCTCTATTTCTTGTTATTCAAACTTGTTTTCCTCCATCCTTTCTGAATGTTCGAAAGAAAGCCAGCGAGTTTCTGCTTCCTGCTAGAACTAGCCATGGTGATGTGTTAAAAATGCATGGTGTGAAATGTACAGTATTACTGATCTGTATGCTTGGCTTCAGTGTTACTTTTGGAAGTTCATTAGTTTCAGCAGAGAAAGAACCTTGTGTTGGGTCAAGATGTCCATAAGTCACAAAGTAACTTGCTATGTTTTTCTGCTATCATCATGTCATTTGTCCCATAAACATGAACCAGTTCATCCCCTAAGTTACAGACAAAAGTTCGTAATCTTACTCAGCGGAACCGTCAAACTTTGGTTTCCAGAAGAAAAAAATTCTGTTCAACATAATGTCACCTAATTGTTGTTAAAGTTTTTTAAAAAGGAGCAATAATTGTTTGGTAAGTTTTTTTTAAAAAGGAGCAATAAGTGTTTGGTAAGGACATTTTTAGGATTAATAAATGCATGGGGAAAAAATTGGATTTCGTGTCCAGAATATGACGGTTCCCCTGACA